ATATTTTTTTTTTAAATATATTTAATAAATTATTATTTAAACTTACCGATCTTAAAGTACATCTAGGTTGAAAGGATTGGTTTTCTGGAAGAAAATCGAGAAGTCGGAAAACTTTGATAAAGATACTTCCGCATCGATGAAGAGCTATTCTATGACATTCAACTAAAGTAAATATATTTAAAATATTAATTTTTAGATAATATATAAGCCTATATGTATATTGATAGCTGCAAAGTTCTTTTTTTAGTATGGTTAAAGAATCAATAACGTCGCTATGCCATACTTTTCATATTATAAAATCTAATTTTCTATTTAATATTGTATATTCTCCGGGTATTCCCAAGTATTCTCCGGGACCGGGGAAAAATCCCAGTTCCCTCTCTCTCTGAACGGCCCTAAATTTATGCAAGATTCTGAAACTGGTTATTACAAAATGATTATTTATAATTACCGTAAAATTTAAATTATAATGAAGATTATTTTAAATAAATATTTATTAAAATTTAAAAAAAAAAATGATTTTTTAAAATCACCTTCAGATATTTCTTCTTTCAAATTTTTGTGGTCAAGAACCTCTGATAAGTTTTCTTGTTTTTCAAAATTTTCCCTATAATGTGAAATGAATATTTAATTGCTCGGAAAAGAGATAGTTGTATAAAAGATAAATTTAATTGGCAATTTACATGTCATGAACAAAGTTTAATGATAATAATTGTTTATAATTTTCGCCGTCATCTTGATCGTCTTCCTCATAATCACTGCTCACGGCAACTCTCAAGAGAAGAAGAAAGATGATATTTTTCCAAAAACACATTTCCTATAGAAAAATACAAAGGATTTCTTACTTAAAAAAAAAAATCGTTCTGATTTAAATTACCGAAACTTCTACAATATTTTTTTTTTCTAAAAAGGAATTTTTCGCATTATTTAGTGTTTTCTAATGTTTAAAAAATCTTCAGACAGACAAATTATGTCTAGGCTCAAAGGTTGAAGTTTGAAGTTAATTTACTGTTCATTCGCTAGATGGCGAAGTATATAAATTTACCTTCTTGTTTAGAATAAGATTGTTTAATAGTAAATATTTATCCGTGCCATAAACAGCGATGGATATGCTTAAAATAAGATATATTTTGATTCTAGAAACCCAAAACAAACCAAATAAATTTCGTTCCGAAAACAAACGTTTTACTCTTAACTGGACACAGCAGGATGCAGTCAAAGGCCAAACCTTGTCTCTATTAATCATTGTTACGATCGGCCAACACAATCGAATTTCTACATTGATCTTTTTTCTTTGGTAATTTTTTAAGATTTAGGTTAAATTTCTCACAAATACACGCACGTATAATATATCGGAATATACGTTATAATGCGCCAATAAAAATCAAACTATTCGTTAAGTGCGGAATTATAATTTTTTCAAATTTTCAAATTTTAAAAACGACCAATCGTATCAATTTCTAAGTTATTACGACACAACAATAAACGAAAGATGCCGTGACGCAATCACGTGTTGCAACTAAAAACAAACGTGACAAAACGGATGCTTTGCTCTTTTTTTTTTAAATGGAATTTTATTCCTTATCAATGTATTTATTTCCGCTTTTTAACATGGAATATTATTTTGTGAACAATGCCAGAATAAAAACCTGTTCTGAATCAATGACATCATTATACAATCAAAATTATACGTCACGCAATTTTTAAAAAAAATGTGAAGAAAAAAACGACTGTATAAAGAAATTTATTAATTGAAATTAATTTAATTATTTTTTTTAAAAAATCTTATTTTATAAATAAACGAAATTATTGTATACTTACCGATTTTAAGAACACCTTCCGCATCGGTTACTCCGCTTCTGAATGAAGACTAACACCGAACGGTTGTGACGTCACAAACAGGTTATGCGTAACCTTACACAATGCGCAGATTGGCCGATTACAATATAAAGTTTGGCAAACAGAAACTAACTTCCCGACTGATAAGACTAATGTAAAATTAATTTCTACTTTTTATTATTTTAATTTTATTTTCTTTCTTATCTCCTCATTTAAGCTAAATTTTTTAAACAATAAGTTTACTGTTTAGTGTGTCTATCCGTGACGTCATTGCTGCTTATAGAGAACTTGAGAACGATTCATTACCATTAATAATGCAACAGTTTATTTTTCGTATGAATAAAACCGTGTTCGATGTTTATTTTACTTCGAAATGAGTGTTTAACTTTCAATTAAATAATTAAAAATTCGTTTATTTTGAGAATTTCGTACTTTATAATTATTTTTTTAAAATATTTATTATTAAATAATTTAAAAAAATCGCCGAGACATTTGTAGTTTTAAATGGATTGTTCGGTGCTACCATCTTTTGGTCGAACTATGAACTAAAGTCCATAAAAAATTTTTATTCTTTTTAATATATAGAAATATTGAAAATAGAGTAATTGCTTTATAAAATTTAAAAATTAATTTAGACAAATTATAAAATAATCAAAATTTTATTATATTAATTTTACTTCTTTCAAAATATAAAAACAAATCGAAAAAAATTCGAAAAATACAATTTAAATACAAAAGTTAATTCGTTTCGTTACATTAATAAATCTCTTATTACAAAAATATTTAAAAATTATAATTTTTTTTACAACAATTCTTGAATGTGTAATAATTTAATTGTATTTTCAGTTGTTTTATATATCAAAATTCATTATTATTTCGAACTATATTTTTAATTTCTATTTAAATCTGCATGAAAATAAAAACAAAACAGTAAGATAAAATATTTCAAAATATTATTTATTTTTATTATTAGAAAAATTGTAAACAAATTTGTTGTTATTTTATATATATATTTTTTTTTTAATTTAAAGGTAAATAACTCCTTCCATTTATAACAGATGGCGCCACGGTTACTAACTTTATACGAGGATGAAACATTTTTATGAAATTTAATGTAGTTTGTTTTTATTTTTTCCTTCGTTTTAATTGTAACTTAAAGCAATATAATAAGCAGAGTTTATGGTAGTTTGAGAATTAGTAGAGTAAACATGTTGTTGAAATTGTCTTTATATTTGTAAATTGTTTGGTTTTTTGTTTTTTTTTTTAATGATTGTTAATCGTTTAAGAACATTAAGAAACCAATTAGTTTTGCCCCAATTTTTGTCTACATTATAAATTGCAAGTTTCTGGCAATAAAAAAAAGGTTAATAGCTTAAGAAAAACAAGCGCATTTTCCTGTTTTGACTGCGTTTTGAACATTAAACTTAGCTCTTTTTTTTTTTTTTTTAACGATTTTTCCGAAATTTTTTTCTATAGTTTCGACAACGTTTTATGTACTTTATAGAGATGTATAGTAAACATGTGTTACTATACAAGATCAGCTTATAATATATATATATACAAGATTGTTTTTAATGCGAAACGACAGGAGACTGTTGCATGCGAGACGTGTACCGAGGGCTTAACGGGGCTTAACATGGCACGCCACATTGATCAGATGTGGACAAATCACGACTGCTTCGAGAAAAGTCGGCCACATGCCAAGACAAGGATTTTGAGCTTGAATGACGCTGATCTGACAGCTCGAAGCTGCCTTTGATAATCGTCTACTGGTCGGCATCCGATTTCCGCCATCTTGTGTCACGTGGTTAGGCAATTCTTTGACGCGATTTATTGGTTACTTTCTTATCAGACGGTTCGAAAATATAGAAAAAAAAACAAAAAAAGTAAAGCCAATTAGAAATAGCTCCGTATCGAAAGTGAGATTTTGTATCGATAAGTTTTAAAGAATTTCTGAATATCAATAAGATTATATTGAGTCCATTCGATCCAATGTAGCAATATATAATGATGATATCTCTTTCTTCTATACATAGAGTAGTATCCAATGGAGTAGAAGAGTTTCGGAAGATTTCCGCTCCATTTCTTACTTCTGATATCGAACGGAAGTATTGGTCATAAAGAGGCTATCTCTTAACATTGATTTCTGTACAAATTATCTCCAGGTTCAATGTGCTGTGAAAATGCCCTATATTACTCACTTAATAGTCTGTGTTTAGAATTTTTAATGTTTTAAATAAAAATGTCTCTTGTTATAAATTACTTTTTCAAATTACTATTACATCAATTAATGGAAAATTACATATTTGCTATTTTAATAAAGTGTTTATTATGAAAAAAAAATATGGAATTTTAAAATATTAATTTTTAATAATCAAACGAATTACCTGACTACATTAAAGTTAATTAATTAATTATATAATAAGCAATTTTGGTACGTTTAATAATTAGAGTATTATGGAAGAAAATAATTGTTAATGTCTAAAATAAGAAATAAAGTATAATTTGTTTGCTAACGGTGCGAATATTAGTCATTGGATGAAAATAATTCTTTAAAATCGCATTAAATGACCATTAATGAAAAAGATTAATGAAGTGGATATAATATGTAACTATAAATAAAGTTATTGTTAACACACTTTCTATGTTATGATTATTAATACAAGTTTTCATATTCTCACGAGCGATATTAAATGGAGCATGAACAGGGTTTTTTTTTGCTAGATCGGTAAGGAAAAAATCGTTTATGTTATGAGGAATTTGGATAATTTTTTGATAAATTGAAAAATGAACTTCCTTTTAGAGGTGAGAACTGTAAGATCTTTCCTTCTAATGACTTTCGAACCTTAAAAATTGAGATGTGATTAAACTTTCGATATTGTATTAAGTAAATGCTACGTTGATGCGATAAAGTTGACCAAGTAGAGCATAAGTTTTAATTGTTTTTTGAAGTGTGAGAAAATAAAAAGAGAGAGAGAGTCAAAATAAATTAGTTTTCAGCTAAAAACTTTTAATGATTTCAATATAAATAAAAGATTTTCTTGACTTGGACTTTATTTCTACTGGGAAAAGTCAAGAAACTTTATCGAATTTTAAACAGTTATTTTTTGATTTTTGTTTAAATCGTGTTAAGAATTTAAAATTTGTTTAAATATATTTTTGTGAATGTTTTAGGCAAAGTTTGGTGGAGCTTTAAGAAGAAAAGAAAGACGAAAATCTCCTTGAAGAGTGCTTTATTAATGGACAATGTTTTCGTATGACAAAATAGAAAGCTAGCTTGTAGAATACATCCCTCCCTACATATAAACCGAAAGAAAATTTACAGATGGAAAAAGATAAGAACAGAAATTAGACAGAAAATATTGCGAAGACAATCACTCACCAAAGACAAAAATGGATCAAATCCGTGAACAAAAGAAAATACTCAAAGGTTTTTTACATCTCGGCGCCATCAAAATAGCTACAATTGTTACAAAAATAGCAATCTCCTGGGATTTGATGGCGCCATGATGTATCCGAAATAAAATCACGTGTGTAGAGATGCGCTAGCTTTCTGCTTGTACGTCACAAATACAGCAAAAAATGAAAATGATTCCATTTATTCGATACACAGCTACCGGTTTGTGGATCCCGCCGGGAATGATGTGGTCACTGTTAATTAAAATTAGATTAAACGAGGAAAGTATATCACAGTTATCGCTTTCCGCACCTTTTACTCTCTTACTTGCGATAGTATAGTGTGAATCTTCCTTATCACAACCGCATCCTAATCCTTCCAGCCGAAAACGTACACAAAATAAAACACACCAATGAAAGACAACTGGTTGGGATAGATACCGGAAGCTGTGTATCGGAATCGTTTAGAACTTCTATACTAGAAAATAGAGTCTTTTCCAGATGAATCTGCTCCTGTTAATGAGATCCAGACAGCTCTTCTGGATGAGTAAGACTCTAACATTAATGAGATGAGGATTTGGAAAGGGAACACTACAAAATAAAAACACGAACGGTGAGGACAAGGAGACACAGGAGGGACTTACGCCTGGACCACTCTGTACATTGATATGACATGTCCCAGCATCGTCCGGAAAAGTCGGGAAATCTTTGGTCGAAATGGTTGATAGAAGAGGAGCCTTCATACTGGCTAGGAACTGTTGTTGTTTCGCGACTTCGTTCTGTACACATCCTGCTGTACAACATTCCTACACTCCATAGTGAGAATTCTAGCTTAGAGAACCTATCTGTCGAGAAAAAGTAAAGATTAACACAGGACTAGAATTGAGGATAAAAGATCATTACTGGCTTTGTCCGCACAGTTCTTTGGTAATTGTTGAATCTTCCACGTAATGATGAGTTTTTAGATGAGACTCTAATTCCAAAGATGATGAACAAATCTTGCTGCACACATTGCACGCGATTTTCCATCCCCATGTAGCTGGTCTCTCGGTGGTGATTGGAGGAGTGGGAGAAAGAGCAGGGTAAGTTGGAGAACTTTCATTAGTGCGTGCTGGGGATTTCCTGTTATCGGCTTCATCTTCAACTTTATTACTTTCTTGTTGTCCGGGCCTGATGTTGATCAAATTAGCTACGTTTCCGTTGCTAAGCCCGGCCGTCTGGATGACCGAAATCTCGTTCATCTTGGGAGCATTCATCCCATTGAGGTATCCGGGTGGAAAGTAAGGAAAAAATACATCCGGCCGAGAAGTAGGGAATTCTCCGGGTCTACCGGGAGACAGTGGAAGCTCCAGAGACATTCTACGACCTCGTCGGGATGTAGGATTGTTCCACATATGTGTGCCCATATGAACTTTTAAATTGCCTTTGGTTGTGAAAGCTCTTCCGCAAACTGTGCATTTGAACGGTTTATCTCCTGTATGGGTTCGCATATGAATTTGTAAAGCGCTTCCGCTCGAAAACGGCTTGTTGCACATGTTGCAAAAATGTTTAGGAACACTCGGAGATCGTTTAGATGAAGGAGAACTTTCTGTAGTAGGATGTTTTTGAGATCCTTCAGTTGCAGATCTTTGTATTTCCGAAGGCGATAGTTCGATTGGTTTATTTGTAGTTTCTGTTGTAGTAGTAGAAGTAGTAGTCGTCGTGGTAGTAGTGATTACAGGTAATGGAGGCGTTGGAAGTGTGGTGGAAGGAGTAGAATCGGAACTCGATGTAGAGAAAAGTTGAGATGGTAAATCGCGAATCCTATGAGTTAACATGTGTTGCTTCATATTGCCCTTAGTGGAAAATCCACGATCGCATAGATTGCACTTGAAAGGTCTTTCTTTGGTGTGGCTACGGTAGTGAATTTCCAGAGCACTGTGACATGCGAATGTCTTGAAGCATATTTTGCATGTTGTATTCAAACGACCTGGAGTGGCAGCAAAGGGAAGACCGACCAAAGGAGGCGGTAAAAGTTTAGACATCATATCTGATACAGGAGGAGTCGTAGAACATGTAGTTTTTGGAGTTAAATCCAATGCTATTTCTCCTTCTTGTCTTATTGATGTGATTACCGATGATGAATTAGAAGGAGCTAAAATGGATGGTGATTCCGATTTAACGGCAGATCCGGGTGTTGATCGCTCATCAGAAGTCTCAGATGCAGGCCTGCTATTCACAGACGTGGGAGAATAAACCGACGAGGGGGATTTGTCCGAGCGTCCGTGAAACGATGATTCGGGTCTCATAAGTCCAACCGAAAGTCCCATTCCAAAAGATGAAAACGGTATAGGGTGTGGAATGTTGGTAGTAATGGCTTTTACCTGATTCTCGAGAGCTGCTAACGATGCCGTATATGATGATACTGCCAATTGGGAAGTAGGGCTGCTTGTGCTTGGCGCCATTACCGTTATAAGTTTATCATCTCGACCAACAGGAAGATTGATTTGAGTATTTCCAGCCGATGTCGAGGATTGTAAACTGTTTTCTGGCATAGACGTTGCTGCTCTGATAACTGTATCTGAAATTATACTTGAAACTGGTTGATCAATGGGTTTATTGGAAGATGATGTAGTAAAAGGTTGGGGGAGACGAGGAAACGAAGGAGGAAGAAGTGATAAAGATTTGATATCTTGTATAGATGCATCAGTCTTTTCTCCAGTATGCATTCGAATATGCTGTTGCAGAATAAGTGAATTCGAAAATTGTTTATGACATATCGGACACTGGTGAAGGACCCTCACAGGTGGTTTGACCCTGTGGACTCCCATGTGGGTTTTCAGATTACCCTTCGTAGTAAATGCTCTTCCACAGATCTTACACTTAAAGGGTCTTTCACCCGTGTGGGTCCGGTAATGCATTTGAAGAGCGCTTTTGCAACTCAGGACGCGATGACATATAACACATTGATTCGGATCTGTTAGTTTGTGTTCGATATTGTCTACCAATCGCTGCAGTTTTGTCGTTTCGGATGGGTTAGTAATCTCCATTAAACTTTCCCAAGAGCTGTCGTTCGTTCCAGGTTTAGGCAAAAGATTCTGATAAAATGCAGGATCCAATTCCAGAGTAGAATCTGCAGAGGCTTTATTTCCAGATCCCGAAACTGGAGCAAAGCAGAGAGGAGGAGCAACGGTGGGAGCGTAGGACACTGCATGAAAGAAAGAGCTGAAAGAAGGAGATGATGTAGTTGTTAGGGATGTTATTAATGATCCTGAAGTAGGATGTTCTCCTTCTGCATCGAGTTCTTTATCGGACATTTCACTTTGTTGATCGGAAGGAGTGTGCCGCCTCTCATCTGGATCTTCGGGATCGGTTTTCATGTCGCCTTCTCTCTCCATATCTTCCGGCGGAATCGAATCTTCACCAGAAACTTCTGTAGCGTCGGAGGAATTGGAAATATTTGGTGGCGAGATAGTCTCGATTCTTCCCGATTCCTGCTGGTATTCGCCTTGTTCCACAGGAAAATTTTCTGATTGTTGTGCAAAAGTTGTTGTTGCGGCATTTTGAGAATCACTCGGTGGTTCTAAGGGAGGATGGAGATTATCGAGATATTCAGGTATTGGATTTGAATTCATGATTATATGGGGATATTTCGATTTATGACGTTGAAAATGAACTTTAAGATTCCCTTTTGTAGTGAACCTATTTCCACAAACATTACATTTAAAAGGTCTTTCACCAGTATGTGATCGAATATGAATTTGCAATGAACTATCACTACCAAACACTTTTCCACAAAACCTACATTTATGACGAGTGGAAGGGTCATCCGATCTGACACTTCCTGATTTATTCTTGCGAAATTTTAATATTTCCGAACTATTGCCATTTATGCCATTTAAGAGAAAAGAACTGCCAGCCATAGTGTTTTGAAGCGCTTGCTCTGTGTGTCTCTGCAGCAATTCCAGTGTATTCGGCTCATTTATTGGCAGTAAGGGGGTATTGGAAGGAGAATGACCAAGTTTATCAGAACTGGAAGTTACTGGCAAGTTGGCAGTGTTTGTTAAAGTTCGAGATGGTGTGGGAGCTGATGCAGAGGTAGTTGGTGCCTGAGCTCCGGGATTAGCATCGCTGCTTTGAGGCGGTGTAAGAGCCGCGGTGCCGATCAGAGGAAGAAAAGAAGAGACGGAAACTGAAGCATCCGACGTTCCCATCAATTGAGACTGTAACTCTTGAATAACCTGCAACTGAACCATTTGTTGCTGCTGCAATGTGGAAAGTGCCGTTTGGAGAGCGACAAGCTGAGGAGCTCGAGACTTATCGTTATCTTTTATGACAAAAGTACCAAGTTGCTGATGAATGAAATTTTGAGGTAGATGGGAAGGTTGCAATGGTTCTTCTCTGGCAGCCTCAGAGGAGATATCAGGAATGTCGCCGTTTGCATCTCCGTACTTTTTCGGTAACAAAGTAAGCAAATCACCATTTGTATAGAAAGTGATGAATTTAGCTCCATCTTCGTCAGTCGTTTCCGCCAAAGGATGGGCCGATGGTTCGTCGCTGGAAAGAAGAACCGGTCTCTTGCTGGTACAACGTTGTTTGTGCTGGAGAAAAGTCACCAGTTCTGTGAATTCGGCCCTACATTTGCCACACACATGTTCATCTTCGTCAGTATCACTACTAGAATTGATTCCTACAAGAAAGAAAATAATCAAAATGAAAAAGTAGATTCATTACATTTGTGATAAATCGAAAATTTACAGATGAAATAATTTATAATAATTAATAACTTTAAGTAGACGGATAATGCGCATTTAATGGCATTTAACCAAGTGTTTGTTTGTGAGCTTAAAGTCATTTAAAAATGAACATTCTGAGTAAAATAATGTTTGGATATTTATTCGTAGTCCATTGAGTAGATGCCAAATAAAAGAGCAACATGCATTAAGCCAATATTTGATCGAAATGATATCGGCATTATTACCAAAAAGTAAATAGAAGAGCGTTTGCCACAGACAAGTCAATTGGTTATTGACATAAAGTTGTTCCCCTTTTTCCCAGAACTGCACGTGTCATCTATCAGGAAGCCTTCATCCTTCTTCTACTAGGATAACAGCCATTATTTTAAAAAAGTATATGTAGCTTTATTTTAAACAGAGATATTAAATCAAAACACAGTTTTCATACCTTCAAAACGGCATATGAGATTATTCTTTATCGTTCAGAATTAGTCAAGCAGCACCCTCGAGATTTTATCGAAAGTTGATATTCGGTTCGACTTAACGTTGAATAATTCATATCTGTATAACTTTACATGATGTCATAAATCGATAAATATCGTAAATCAATGGAAAGTAACAGAAGTAGGGAAGAGACAGGTTATATATTTGCTGTCAGTTGACAGCTTAACTGTTTGTCCCAAATGCGAAATCCCTGTCACTAACTTCCCAACCGGATTGCACTATCAATCGAAATTTTACCTGTCAGTTCTGGCCAATGGAAAGACTGGACAGGTCACTGCAACAACCACCAAACCATTTGAGAGAGAGAGACCTAACCTGTCTTCATTTAATGAATTAAAATCATAAGAAAATAGAAGTTTAAAAGTTCCGTTCTATTATGATATAGAAGGAAAACACCCGCCAACATTTATCGTTTTTTTGTAGGTCGTAAAGTTTTGATAAAAGCCCATCCGTTTTATCTGCGTTTTCGCAATTTTTAGGCCTGTCAAAAATTTCAAAACTTCAGAAACAAGACAAAAGATGCTTTATTTTAAAAATCTAAAATTTATTAATAATAAAAATATCCTCAGCATTAATGGGGATAATATAAAATTGTCCATCTTTTCAAATCAAAAATGTATTTAAAATCTACAACAGAATTAAATACGATTAAGGAAAGGTAGGGCAGACTTGATTTAAATGTGTATCTCTTCCAGGAAATCGGAAAATTTAGCTTAATAAATCGCTATTCATCCATTAGCAACGCTTTTCCCAGAGTAGCAAAGCGCAGTCTGTTATTGTTATTGCTGCGGTCATTGTAGTAAATGCAAGATTACTTCCCTGTGAGCTGCATACAATCAGTTACGGAAATTATAATCGATATGGTGTAATGAATGACAACTATGAGGTCTAAATGACATTTTTGTCGCACGCCCCGAATTCGCTTTCCTGTAGAATTACAGCTCTGACAGGAATAAACGATCTGGCTAACTGTCTATTCATCTCGGAGGGTCAGTAACCGTAGAGGCGGTACTTTTGCCATTTGTTCACCTGGTTCGTCCCACTGGGCGGTGCTCCTATACCTGGCCAATGTAGATAACATTAATGATATTAGTCTAAATCCTTCCTCTAATTATCACGCCCGAAATATTGCCTTCTCTTATCTGAATCTCTAAAGAATATTCATCCTGCCATTGTTTTCTTCCTCTTAATCAAGGCCTTCGAAATAATTATTTAGAATAAACGTAATAATATATTAAAAACAGGTTAAACTAAATTATTTATTCATTTTCAAACATTAATTTTAGATATTGATAAGTTTATTTCCGAGTTACAAAAGAAATATTTTCATCACTCACTTGTGAATTATTATTATTATTATTCACAAATAAACTAGCTTTAAACTTATTTTATAATAACCTGAATCTCGACTACAATAAAAACTCGAATATATTTAATAACCAGAAAGTAAAGAGTTCTTCAATGCTAAACGAAGAGTCAAATATTCTCGTTGAAAATATATATAAATAAATGTAAAATATAATATTGAGTAAGTTGCAGATAAATGTTTGTCAAGTTTTCTTCCTCTACAATTAATACTATTAATAAATAAAGCAACTAGCTACAGAACAACATTTTATGTATTAAATCGTTATCATTAATTTATTGAGACTCTTCTGCTTTATAAATATCGAATGAAATAATTTGAATAGTTGAGATTATAAACTAAATAGCACAAATGATTGTAGTTTTCAGTTGAGAAACTTTATCTTCTTATTTTCGAATAGCAAAGTTTTGTATCCTGGAATAAAGCTTACCTGGCCGAAGACCAAATCGATTTTACTTCACGTCTTTAAGTTTTATTTCACAAGAATTATTGTATTTGTACAACAGAGTAAATCCCTTTTAAATACCTTTGATAGTAATTCTACTCGAAAGGAGTTAGAAATTCGGCAAATCCTCTAACTTTACGGCTGGGATATAAAGATTTTTCCTCTCTTCTCCACTCCCTTTTCGCATATCAATAAAGGGAGAAACCCGAACTCTTCCAATTAAGTACAATTAAGATTCTCGACCGAAGTCGATTTTGCACTTTTGTTAAGAGAGGTAAAAAGCCTTATTGAATGTATAACCGCTTAAGGCATATAGTAATATATAAAGAACTGAAGTGTTTTATAGATTGGCAAAATACATTCCTCATTTAACTGCCACCAATTCATAGATAAACAGCGAATTTCATCTGCTTTATTGCTCACTTTATGATGTGTTTAATCGTAAAGACACGGAAACGTGTCTCCTGTATTACATAGCCAAGTGGGCCTTCCAATGAACACATCTCCTACCGATTAGAATGAGAATGGAAATTTTGATTTTACACTACTCAGTTCCCATCTTTCAAACTATTGTATGCATACTTATTTTTTTCATCTGCAATAAAACTTCTAGAAATATTTCGTTCTTTGGATAACTAATTTATAGATAAACTCATACAATCTCTACGAATCATCCTTCTTAAGCTTAAGCTTATTATTTCATTTATCGAAGCGACCGGTTCCTTATGTTTAAATTTATATTTAATTAAGAGCAGAAAGTTTATGTAAAAACTTAAAATTACCTTCTAAAGATTCATTCGTTTGTTATTTCTCTAAAAATTTGCTATTAACATCATTAAACTTTTATTATAACATAAAAATACAACATTAGATAACTGCAAAAGTCTTTTATCATTCAATTTTATAAATGCAAACTACAGTACCACTTTTTAGTGATTAATTTTTGCCTACTTATTTCCAACAGATTGAACTGACTACTTAAGTCAAAATCTATGATCGGTATAAGAGGCTATTCTCGCGAAATTTATATTGAGTGAATCTTCAATTCAATGTTTTCTGGTCATTTGGGCCAATAAGGTAAGTGTTGACTTGATGTATGGCCCGGTCTTTCTGTCGGATTCCGAGGGGGCACCATTTATAACTTCATTTTCCAAATGGCTGAACTTGAAAAATTGTTATGGAACCTCCATCTTTGTGAGGGAAACGAATGTCGAAATTACCTTCGACTCTCTTTCAGGAGGCAGCTCTCTATACACAGAAGTGGTGAAGTGAAGGAGTCTTTGTTGGCGAAAGCCATTACTTCGATGCAGGAGAATTGGCATGCACCACTTCTACTCTAAACATTGATTTTATCAATTCCGCATTATCCTAATATGTCACTCGAATTATTAAAAGACCAAAGACCGTTTATAACGAGAAAATTCATTGGATATAGGTTAACAATCTTCGTGTAAAATAAAACTAACTTACGCTTATAACTAATGGGTTCCGAGATAATTACCGCATCGTATTATCTTTGATTTTATTTTATAAATCAGTCGGGTCAGGTAAAATTTCATTAACCTAGTTTAATGTTATTTAACAAAATTGCAATTTAATTCAGAAGAAAATAGTTTTTTTATGAAATATATAGTAATTAGGATAGAAATTCTGGTATCAAATAGATTATCCTGTTGATTTTTTCATCGAAATGGACGGTGATTAAAACTAGATTTGAGAAATTTCTATTTGTTTTTTATCTACATTCATATCAAGTTGTGGAAGAAAAATTTAATCAAAGATCACACGACAGAAGATAAATAATTAAGTTCTTTAATCTACTGAATTAAATAATATATTAAATCATTTTTAATACACTATTTACTATTCCAGAAGTTTTAAAATCTTATCGGAAATATTTATTACAACGATAAATATTGACCTGGAGGTTAGAAGACAAATTGCAAACGGTGTAGATATTCATCTCACCTCTGTAAAAGTAAAGCGACGAATGAATAAATGGTTCCATTACTGATAAAACTAATCTTAAATTTAGATAGAAAACACAGTGACAACCTCTGTGGCTAATAAACAACTTGATACTGCATACGAAACAACGTGCAGCATCAAGTTGCATCTATTACGATCAATAATCAAAAGATCTCTGTTAATTTCAATCCCAAACATAAATTTTATAATATAAATATGTACAATATTATTGATAATAGTAAAGTTATGGGTGGAGTATATTTTTAATTTTGGATATTTCCGAATTGAAATTCCTAAGCACTTATAATCTTATCAAGTTGGTAAAAGATCTGTAAATATAGTGTTTTTATTTCCCATTTTTACTGTATCGAATGGGAAAATGGGTGAATTATTAGCTTAAGAAATTGTATAATGTCAAGTTTAATGGTATTTTAATTGGTTAGGCAGAAGAGGAAAACCTTTGGACTTTTGGTTTCAGTCTGCGGATTCAAAGCTATTAGATGTAATAGGAGGAATTTTTCGTTTCTGGTTGTTTCGAGCGCATCTGGAAGTCAATAACTGTTGGTCTAGTTGCTGCGATTGTTTTAAACTTCGTCAATCTTCGACGTCACTTGCCGGACTCGAACCAATCACTTTTACTTTTTCTCCGAGTCCAGTTGGAAGATGTAATG